ACATTCAAACTGACCCGTTCATAGCAACACAGCTCTCTGTGATGATGGCGTAGAACGAGGCATGGCAGAGAAGAGAGAGCAAAACAGCCCACCCAGGGCGCGGCCTCCTATAAGAGCGCTCATTTTGTCCGAACAGCCAGGACCAGTCTGTCCCTTGCAAAGCTTTGAGTTTGTCACTACATTTGGCACCGGGCCTTGGTGTATTTGGAACTGGGTAAACTGCAGCTGCATGACTGGAAAGGGATATTATGGGCTGGAGGTTTTGTTAAAAATGAGATCACGCAGGAGAAAACAGTTGGAGATGGTTACACCAATGGCTTCCTATTTCAGAGACCACACTCGGAATCGGTGTCTCGAGGACATTTTTCCCAGGAAGGGGTAGCTCTCAAATGCAGAAGGAGACCTTTTCATTAAAAAAACAAATGTGACCCAGATGGCAATACCAAATAATAACAATTATGTTGATACATACACATTTATAAAGAGCCAAAGCCTGACAACGCCTGGCTTTAGATTATAAATTGGCTCATTATCAGGAAAAAGATATTTATTGAAACACAGGAATGATCAATGGGCTCATTATCCCCTCATGGCAGCCAAGAAGTCTTGAGACACAGCCTGTCGCAAAACAAAACAAAAAACAAAACAAAACAAAAAACCAAAAAACAAGACCAAAAACAAAATACAAACCCAAAAAAACCAAAAAACAAACCCCCAGGCAGATACTGTACCAGCACTATTGGGCACATGACTTCTCCACCGGGGTTGACTTGAGAAGAGGTCCAGGAACAAGAATGGGACTTCAGGGTCTTGAGACCTGATCATCTGGAAAATAGAGCTAATTGAGACGCTCCCCTTGGGGGCTTGCTCCATTAGTGCCTGGCCTGGAGCTGAGCAAGCTTGAGAAGGATGCCTCAGTGTGGCGTGTGTCTTTTTATTTAAATATAAAACCTCACAGTACGTTGCCTCTCATTTCTTTTCTGAAAAAAAAAAGGCTCTTTATTAGCATATTTAAACGCGCATAGCAGTGGGTTTCATTACAACACTTCCATTCATGCGTAGGATGCATTTGGATCCTATCTACACCATTACCCTCGCCTGGTCACCCTCTGTTCTCGCTGCTCTCCTTTCCCCATCTAGTTCCCCTCCTAGTCTCCTGTATGTTTGTCTGTGTGAACAGTGAGTTTTAATTAGGGTTACTTACAGGAGCACGACCCTCTTACCGGTAGCTACAGCACTGGAGGAAACATCTTTTTTTTTATTTTTTATTTTATTTTTACGAGACAGGGTTTCTCTGTATTGTTTTTGAGGCTATCGGTCCAGCCCGGCCTCAAACTCACAGAGATCCGCCTGCCTCTGCCTCCGGAGTGCTGGGATTAAAGGTATGCGCCACCACCGCCCCGCCTGAAGGAAACATCTTTCTCCCTCAGCCTGCTGCACTTCTTTTTAAGTTTCTGACTTTACATTGTTGTTGTTGCACTAAAGCTTTTTAAAGAGAGTATTTGCCTATATCTGTGCCCCTTGAAACATTTTAAATAGTATTTCACATAGAATGCAGAGAAAAGCCCAGATACCCGCAAGGTCGCAAACAATCCAAGAGGATTAACCGGGAGACCAGTGTGAACAATGGTTTATACAGCAAGCAGCCACTGAAGGGGTATCAGGAGCATAAGTGTGGCAGCCTTGGATGGGTTGTTTAGTGTTATAGGATCTCAGTGTGCCTGTTGAGAAGAATGGGAACATCACTTGCTTTGTAGGTTGACCTTGGGAACACAGCAGGTCTTAGGAAATTATGGAAATCTGGGGCAGGAGAATTAGCCCAGTGGTTAAGAGTACTTGACGCTCTTGCAGAGGATTCAGGTTCAGTTTTCAGCACCGACATGAATGGCGCACAACCTTCCAAAGCTCCAGTTCCAGGGGACCCAACCCCATCTTGTGAATTCCAACACCATCAGACATGCACTTGCTATACATACATACGTGTATTCTTATGTACGTGCATGTAGGCAAAACACATAAAATAACTAAGTGAATCTTTAAAAAAATTATACAAATCATTTTCCTTTTCCTAGAAACAACAAAGGTAGCAGGTCTTGTAGGGAGCCGTGGACATTTGGGGACTCTCCTTCTGAACGTCCTGCGTATGGAACATAGACAGTAAGGGCATTTCTGGTCATAGGCATAACGGGGACATTCACAGTCTGCTGTGGACTCGCAGTGAAGTATGCAGGCCTGACATGTTCAAGGCAGAAAAGAATCCAGACAACAGGATGGGTGAGGATTACAGTACTCACTGCCTCATTCCACACGCCAGGAACTGGGCTCACGGACGCAGCAGTGGTTAAGAGCCCAGACACACTAAACATGCTTCCTGGTTTTTTGTTTCTAGACATGAAAACTGGGACTTACCACCCAGGATAACCTAACTTATGCTTTAATAATGAATGACTCCAAACACCTCAACTGCACATGACGAATGTCCTTCATAAGCCATCTGTGGCTTTGCTTCATAGCGTCATTATCCAAGACGCAGGTAATCAGGACAGCACACTGCTGGGGACACTGCCAGTCATCAGTGGAAAGGGGACATGACTGTGCTAGTCAAACTTCTTCAGCTGTGACAGGATCAGCTTAAAGGAGAAAGGGGTTACTCAAACCATGTTTACACAAGTCTTGGTCCATGGTCACTCGGTCCCCTTGCCAGGGGCCTTTAGACCAGACATTACGGTAGGGAGCATGTGGAGGTGGGTGCCAGGGTCTCAGGAGTCCCTTCAAGGGCAAGCCCCCTTCTTTTTATCATGTCCCCTCTTAAAGGTTCTTTCGGCGATCAGCGCCATCAGATGGGGACAGCGCCCTTGACACCGTTGGGAGTCCCTTAAGATCCAAACCATAGCGGTGAGGAAAGCCCATGAGGACTTTGAAACACTGCATTTTGAAATTGTCCCCCAATACTGTCTGGCTTCTGTTGGTTAAAGAGAGCCGCGTGGTCACTACTACTTAGCCCAGCAGGGCGGGGGATGCTGAAACACCCACAGGCAGGATCGCTAAAGGAAGGACCCCAAAATATTTGACAAACAGTAAAGGACTTGATCACAGGTGCTGACAGAGTCCCTCACAGGTTGCCCTGACAACCAAACGGATTATTTTTCTACAGGATGTGTGAGTGACATTCACTGTAATATGTATTTGCTATGAATATGATGATTAAACAGGAAGTTAGTGATGGGGGTTAGTGAAATAGATCTCAGGCACTAACTGAAAGGCAAAACAAAACAAAAAACCCCAAACATTTGTGTGTGATGAGAACTGTGGATTACAGTCAGCTATGGACTAAATACCATAAAACTGAGGGAGGGAGAGAGGCAGGGGGAGAGAGAGAGGGGGAGGGGGAGGGGGAGGGAGAGGGAGAGGGAGAGGGGGAGGGAGAGGAGAGGGCTGAGAACAGACAGAGGGGAGGTGAAGGACAATGAGAAAGAAATGAGTGACAGTGAGGAGGGGTGGGTAGATAGGACAGATAAAGCCCGGACTGTGGAAGAAGGAGTGAAAATAGCCTTCAGGGAGACTGGGGTCTCTGCAGCCTTTGAAGCACCGTGCCACGGAGGCTCGTGTCTTCAGACCCCTCTTCCACCTCAGGTCAAAGTCCCCACTAGTCCATTTGCTGAGTCATCACAAACACCAAGGCTTTCCTCTGGTTAGGGTTAGGGTTAGGATTTAGGGTTTGGGGTTATGGGCTAGGGGCTAGGGTCAGGGTTTAGGGTTTAGGGTTAGGGTTAGGATTTAGGGTTTGGGGTTATGGGCTAGGGGCTAGGGTCAGGGTTTAGGGTTTAGGGTTAGGGTTAGGGTTAGAGTTAGGGTTAAGGTTTAGGGTTAGGGTTAGGGGTTAGGGTTAGGGTTAGGGTTTAGGGTTAGGGTTAGGGTTAGGGTTAAGATTAGGGTTAGGGTTAGGGTTTAGGGTTAGGGTTAGGGTTAGGGTTTAGGGTTAGGGTTTAGGGTTAGGGTTAGGGTTAGGGTTTGGTTACTAGCCTTGAGTTGGTGCTGGGTGGGATGGTCAGAGCCTCTCCTGTGTCTCGGTCACGGATGATGAGAGCATCGTGTCTGTGAGGCTGCTGAATGGGCAGTGATAGTAAGAGCTCACTTTCGAATGCCATCACAGATGTGCCCAGTACTCCAGGAGGTTAAAAACTCATCATGTTTGTGACTCTAGGTTACCTTCTTGGGCCTTTATCTAGATGGGGATACTGAGGACCCCAAGTTAACAGGCTTGTGCCTGCTTGCATGGTAGCAGGTACATCGTCGATCTGAGGGTTACATTCAGACCCGAATCTGTGCCCCTTTTGAGCATAGTGTGACATACATACGTGCTTCGGAAGACCATTTGAGGGAATACAAGTGTTCTGTGCCTTAACAAAGCAGCGGGATTTTGATTTTAGGACCTGTACAAAACTTAAGAGCTTAAGTGGAACTTGGTGGTATTGAATGGGTCTATAACCCTAGTTACTGGGAAGGTGACTAGGTCAAGTCAGGCTATTCAGTGGGACTCCGTTTCAAATAAAAAGTGAAAAGATGTCTGGGGGTGTGGTTTAGGGGTAGAGTTCTTTCCAGGTAGACGCAGAGTCCTGAGTTCAACCCCCAAAGCTGCATTCACAAAATAATAATCTAGCGCTTGCTCTGAGGGGCTCCTTCCTTTCCTCCACACCTAGGAGGAATTCGCTGCGGATAAAACATCAATTGACAAGTTTCCATTGCTGCTGATTCTTTTTACCCCGTTGGGCCGGCCCGGGGAATGTGAGTGGGTCTCACATTTGGGGCAGCGATTCTTCTGAGCCCTGGGTGCAGAGCCATCTCTGTGCTCTCTTCAAGCATCTGTTTCCACGCTGATTGCCCGCTCTCCGCCAGCCTCCCGTGGACCAGCCCTAGCTGTGGCAGCTGGAATTTTATTGCTGAGTCAGACAGTCGGCCCTAATTGCCTGTGTCGACCTCCAGCTGTGCCGCTTCCTTAGTGGGGAAAGCTGTGCTCTCAGGGCTTGGAGCACTGCCTAACTGGATCAGCCGCCCAGGCTGGCAGCACCAGCCTCCTAGAGGGTCTTCTGTAAGGTTTGCACCCATGGGCTGTGCCTAGGGGAGACGGGGGCGGGGCCTCTGTGGCTTTATCTTTTCCAGGTCTCCACCAACACCACTTCCCCGCCCCACACTGCCACACGCCTGCAGATGCTGCCCACTCTTTTGCACGGTGGCTTCTGCTGGGGTTCACTGCTGGTGTGTATCCACGGAGGAGACCCGAGGACAGTGAGGGGGTGCCTTTCTTGGCATATTACTGTGGGATAGCGTCAGTTTTTTTTTTTTTCCAGAGAGAAGGTCAGAGCTTTGCTCAAGGGGCCCAAAGCTTGGAAATCTGAGTTCTGCTAAGCACTCCTCCCCCTTTCTTTGGGGGGGGGTATGCTGTAGACTGAATGGCTGTCTCCAAGTCATTGCTCTTCCTGGTATCCAAGCGCCCTGCCCGGATGTGGCTTTGCAGATGCTCACATAAGAGGCACGGTGCCTGGCCTCTTGCCCTTGACTTGGCTCTGTGACCTGCTTTGTCCAACGGATGTGGGCTGAACTGTCTGTACGCCAGTGCAAGCTGGGGTCCTAGAAAGCGTGTCACGTCTCCATGTGCCTCTGCCATCTCTGGAAGAGTTTCCCCTGCACAACTGGTGCCTCTTCACTGCGGACTTTGGAAAGAACATCTGTGGGACTGACCAAAGGTAAGCCAACTGCAGCGGGAAACCGGCTGCAAGTGGCGTCCTCAGTTAAGACCAGCTACCTCCATTCAACCCACACTCCCAGGGAAAGTAGACGCTCGGGCTGCATCTCCCCAAGAGCACACAATAAAGGGCGGTAGCATCTCTCAGTCTCTCCCAGGAGTTCCTCAGTATCCCTTGTCTCTGTAGTCCCTTCCTACACTGAGAGAACTTCCTCTATGGAACCCTTGAGGAACCATCCTAAGTTGAGCGACATTGAAGTAATGACACAGGCACTGGACCAGTGCCTCCTCCCCACCACACCACCATCAAAGCACAAAACATGACAGCACTCAATATTGGTCACTCAATATTCAATGGAAACTCTTGGCTTTAGAAGCTGATAAGAGCTTATTTTATTCTTTCTGTGCATGGTCTTTTAATTCGGAAATATCTTCAAAAATACACACAGAGACAGTTGACGCTATAATGAACACCCATGGACCCATGTCTGAGCTTCAGTGACTGACATTTTGCAAGGTCTAATTTCATCTGCCCCTCTCTTATTTATTTATTTTCTCTTGAAATCTAAGGGCCTTTGAATTTGAAGGAGAGCAGGGAGTGGTATATGGGAAGGTTTGGAGGGAAGAAAGGAAAGGGAGAAGCATTGTAATTAAACCATAATCTCAAAAATATCAACAACAACAACAACGACAAAAAATGGGGCTGGAGAGATAGCTCAGTAGTTAAGAGCACTGACTGCTCTTCCAGAGGACCTGGGTTCAATTCCCAGCACCCATGTAGCAGCTCACAGCTGTCTGTAACTCCAGTTCCAGGGGATCCAACATCCTCACACAGACACACATGCAGGCAAAATACCAATGGACATGAAAGAAAAATTGCATACATTTAAAAAATGTAAATAGAAAAAAGAAGGAAAGAGGGAGGGAGAGAGAGACAGAGAGAGACAGAAGAGAGAGGGAGAGAGAGAGAGGAGAAATAGATACAGACAGAGAGAGGAGAGAGAGATACAGAGAGAGGAGAGAGAGACAGAGAGAGAGAGAGGAGAGAGAGAGGCAGAGAGAGGAGAGAAAGAGAGGGAGAGAGAGACACACACACAGAGAGACAGAGGGAGAGAGAGACAGAGAGAGAGGGAGAGAGACAGAGAGATACACACACACACACAGAGAGAGAGAGAGAGAGAGAGAGAGAGAGAGAGAGAGAGAGAGAGAGAGAGAGAGAGAGATCCAATGCTTTAGAGTCTCAGGGTGTCTAGAAGTCTCACTGCAGTTGTCATCTGTAGTCATGTGATGTTGCTCACCCCTCCGCCCACCCCCCCTCCTTCCCTGCTTCTGTTTGATCTCTCCTGCCTACAGTCTTTTATGATGGAGGTTTGCTTTTTTTTCTTTCTTTTTAAATTTTTGATGTGTGTGTCTGTGTGTGCATGAGATCAGCAGTTGAACCATGTGTCTTCCTCAGTTACTACCCACCTTATTGTTGAAGACAGGGTCTCTCACTGATCCTGGAGCTGACTGGCTAGACTGGCTGGCCAGCAAACCCCTGGATCCCTCTGTGTCCATCTCCCAAGAACTAGGGTTACATGTGCACTCTATTTCAAGAACTAGGGTTACATGTGCACTCTATTTCAAGAACTAGGGTTACATGTACACGCTATTGTAAGAACTAGGATTACATGTACATGCTATTGTAGGAGCTAGGGTTACGTGTGCACACTATTGCAAGAACTAGGGTTACATGTGCATGCCATTACATTTAGCTTTTTGGATTCTGGGGACCAAACTCAGGTCTTCATTATTGAGTGGCAAACACTTCACCAACAAAGTCATCTTCCCAGGCCCTGTTTCTTGTTTTTAATTCCCAACTTCGCTCTTTGAAGTCAGCGTTCCCAGGCTGGAGAAATGCATCAGCATGTGAAGTCCCTGCAGCCAAGACTAAAGACCTGAGTTCAATCCCTGGGATCCCACTCAGGTGGCGGAAGAAGAGAACCAATTCTTGGGGGGTGGCAGTCCTCGAATACAAATTTCCACAGCTCTTGAATTTCCCCTTGCCATTTAGAGAGTCTTGTAACATTTGCAATTTGTTGTTTCTGCCAAAGGAGATGGTCAACACGCTATGTGATTTTTGTGTGTGTACAATCTCATTAGTGTCTCTCTGTTCAAAAGAGACCCATTTTCCGTGTCGGTGGATATGATCCCCATAGAAATACCAGCAGTGCGAAGGCTCTACTCATCTTCTTATATACTCCGTGTCTGGCACACAGGAAACAACGTTTGTTTGAACTGCTTCTGAATTAGCCCTGGGACCAGAGAATAAGATCCAGACAGGGCACACACATTGCCAGCCAATCACAGGGATAGCTGCCAAACACATCATCTACCAGCTGCAAGGCTGTGGTCACTCATTCCCTGCAGTGAGTGCCTCCAAGTCTGTCAGATGTCAGCTGCACTTGCGGGGCTGGGAGCTCAGTGGAAGGCTGGATTTTTCTTCATTAAACTTGCCACTCCCCAAGGTGGGTCCCTGACGGGGACTCGGTGAGATGTCAGAGAGAGACAGTTATTGCTATTTCTGGTAGAGATGCTTTTCCACAGCTGGGGATACAGCTGCAGCAGGCCAAGACTTCATGTGTGATGCCTTTTCCTTTTCCGCTTACTAGTTGTGTGGCCTTTGGTGAGTTATGTCTCTCCTCTGAGCCTCATATTCCTCACTCATGATATATATATATATATTTTTTTTTTCTTTTGTAAAAAGCAAACGAGATACTGTCCATGGAACTGTTTTATACACTGTAGAGCATGGCTTAAGTATTGGACACAACTGGAATATATTAAAATTGCATTTAGTCATTTCACAATATTTGTTGTGGAGAAGACTGAATGAGATAATATCCTTCAAAATGTTTTGTTCTCTGTGAAGCACTGTTTACATGTTAGCTATAATTAGAATATATTAAAATTGCGTTTAGTCATTGCTACGGTTTGGATATGAAATACCCTGTCCAAACCCATGTATGTGTTCAAGGCTTGGTTACCAGCGGGTGGATCCAGTTATTGAGCCTGAAGGCTCTGACTAAATCAATGGATTAATCCATGGAAGGTTCATAATTTAATGACATGATCAGGGAATGGTTAAAAATGGGTATGGGGCCAGGTTCAAGAAAGTAGGTCATAGACACGTGCCCTCGAAGGAAGTGGTTTTTTTTTTTTTTGTCTTTGGCTTCTTCCTGTCTGTAATGTCTAATTTTCAGCCTCATTTCAGGCCCAAAATGATCTTCTCTGAAATTGGTTTTCTCAAATATTTGTAACAAGAATGAAAACCAACCAGCACAGTCATTATACAATGTAAGTACACACGCACACACACACACACACACACACACACACACACACACTGTGGCTGTAAAGGTATAGGTTTAATTGCCAACTTGACACAACCTAGAATCACCTGGAAAGAGCATCTTAATGAGTTATTGTCTACAATGGGTTGGCTTATGGGCATTTCTGGGTGTAGGTACGTTAATGGTAATTGCTGTGGAAAAATCCAGTCTGCCGTGGGCATCACCATTCCCTAGGAAGGGGAGTGCTAAGCTGTCTAAGAGTGGGGAAACAGAGCAGGGTGCAATCAAGCAAACAAAAGTTCGCCCGTTCATCTCTCTGTCCTTGACTGTGGCTGTGATGTGAATCGCTGCTTGAGGTCCTGCCTTGGCATCCCCACAATAGAATTATAAACTAAAATAAGTCCCTTCCTCCCCCAAGTTCCTTTTTATTGGGATATTTTATCATAACAACAGCAGTGCAACTAGGAGAGTGTCTGTGCGTTCGGTCAAACGCTGTCCTGCTTGTATGTGTGTGTTTGCACGCACACTTCTGGATGAGATCACCACTTGACTGGTATGCTGAACAAAGCAGATTGTATTCCCATAATGTAGGTGGGTCTCCCCCAACCAGCTGGACACCTCAGTGGAACACAAAACCAATAATGGCATTTCTCCTGCCTGATTGTTTGAGCTGGGGCATAGGTCTTTTCTTTCCTAGGTATTTAAGCAACTGGCTCTTGTTGGATATTATGCTTGTTGTCTTTTTGGCCAGACCTTTTGCTATTAACTCTTCTGAGTCCCAGGCAGCTCTTCAGACTTATTACTGAACTCAACATGGGCGCTTCTGGCTAACTACAGCTCTCAAGGCTTCACAACTTCTATAACCGCATGACTCAGTTTCTTATCATCTGTCTGTCTGTCTGCCTGTCTGCCTGCCTGACTGTCTATCTATCTCTATTTCTATCTCCTATCTGTCTGTCTGTCTGCCCATCCGTCTGTCCATCCATCCATTCATCCAACCATCCATCCATCCATCATATACCTATATCTATCTATCTGTCTGTCTGTCTGTCTGCCTATCTATCTGACCATCCATTGCATCTGTTTAATCTGTCTATCTCCTGCCGGGTCTGATTTTTTAGAGAGGTCTTATTAACACAAGTGGTCAAAGTGATCCGTATTACCTCACTACTATATGTTCAGCCTTCTGCTTGGCACTGTGATGATGTGAAAGACTTTATAACTTACAGCTTCCTGGCTTTTACAAGCCAAGTGGGAGATGAGACTAATCTATTTCTTGCACGCCATGTTTCTGCAGCAAAGGAAAAATTCCTGGCGTGAACAGGAACATTTCTTTCTGTTTCCTTTTCCACTCTTTGCAAGAGAAGAGCCACATGACTGGTGGCCTTGGAAAAGGGGGCTGAGCAAGGAGGTCCAGCATCTCTGCCTCCTCTCTTCCTCAACTATGGAGCAGGTGGAATGCATGTTTTCCCTGCTCTGCCACAGAGTAGGCCTATGGTTGGAGTGGATGGGACTCGCAGTGAGAGTCCAGCTCTCAGCAGCGATGGGCAGGCTCCGTGGAAAGATTGTGGGAAACACACTGCACATTGGTAACGTCAGTCTTTACTCTTGATCCTGTTTCCTTCTTTAATCTTCACAGTCTAAATCTTCTAGTGTATGAAACTCACCC